GCCAATTTTTTTTTATGCATTGTTTTAGCTAACGGTTATTTTATATTTTATCCTCTTTAAGAGAGAGACAATTTTATTATAACAAAATATTTCTCTTTTGTTTGTGCGTAGTGTGTTTTCAACAAGAAGTTTTAATTTAATTATAAAATTTATATATTACCGTATGTTATATAAGAAGCTTTATTATATTAATTTGTCATTATTTTAAAGATTTTTGGATCGTCACTACTATATTATATTACTCCAATGATATATATAATAAAATATATTTTAATAGATACAATATATGAAATTTCGAAACTATTATAGACGCGTATGATTCTTTTGAAAATTAAACAATTTCTACTGCCCTTAGTGCAATGGAAAAATAAATGGGAGGGCCTGGCTCATCAGTGGTAAACCCTCCCAGCGGTTTCGCCAGTTTAATCTACCATACCGCATTTTTCGATCTTTCTTTTATAGTGATACTGATGCTAGACTCTTGGAATATCCATTGCAGTAAAGGCAGCAGAAATTGTTTAATTTTCAAAAAAATCATACGCGTCTATAATAGTTTCGAAATTTCATAACCAATTGCGCGCTAATATGCATCATAGATACAATATATATTATATGGGCAAACATTTGAAAGTAAACGATTAATATTATAAAATAAACGATTAATATATTTTGTTTTTCAAGAGTTTATTAGAATTAAAATCGTATTGTGTGCTTGTGTATCAAGACGTTTTAGTGCATCAATATTAAATTTTATTACACCATATGTTATAACAGGCTTTCTTAAAAGTTATTAAACTATTGAATTGTATTTTATATATATATATATATTATTTTGACGGGAGAGGCGACTATTGCTTCCATATATATATATAAAAGGCATATATTGGATCTAAATTTATTATTCAACCAATATTTCTAGGGGCAAAACGTCTCTCTTTATCAAGGCTTTTCTTTGATTTAAACTAAATCACGTGGGTATGTGATCCACTCATGCTATACAAGATCAAAGTAATGCATGAGTGGATCACATACCCACGTGATTTAGTTTTAATCAAAGAAAAGCCTTGATGAAGAGAGGCGTTTTGCCCCTATAAATATTGGTTGAATAATAAATTTAGATCCAATATATGCCTTTTATTTATTTATAGATATTATTATGGAATGCTCAATCTTTAAAATATATATATCACTACTACTACACACACTACTACGATAATAATATATAATAAAAAAAAAATATATAAATATATATATATTAGTTGATAAAATATTGCATGGGCAAACATTGACTTGGGAAAGCCAGGTTAATCTTTATAGTAAGAATTAAATTAATTACATTTTTTAAAATAGAACATTAGACCTCCAGGGAAAAGTTTATTTCTTAAATATTTTTATTTACAAATTTTTCAAGCCTTCGGGTAAGAAAGCCCTTCTACGGGAGAAAATATTTTCTATTAAAACGCAAAAAAAAAAAAAAATTTAAAAATTTAAAAAAAAAATTAAAAAATTAAATTTTTTTTTTTTTTTTGAGTTTTAATGGAAAATATTTTCTCCTGTAGAAGAGCTTTCTTGCCCGAAATCTTGAGAAATTTTTAAATAAAAATTTTTAAAAATAAAATTTTCCCTGGAGGCCTTATGTTCTTATTTTAATATTGATTCAAGGTATTATTTTATGGAATCACATTTTTTCTTGTGTAAAATAAATTTTTGCGTAGCTTAGAAGCGAACAGAAATGGCTCTGTTGTAATTTTATTTTCATAGAATTGTACCACAGAGTGAGTGGGTGGGAGGAATCGATATTTGAACGAGAGAGGGTCGCCACCATCGGCTCCCTCAGTTGTGGCGCAGTTGAACTCGAGGTGAGTACTTTCCTTTCATATCTCTCTGCCTTCAATATAATATTTCGGGATTTAGATATTTATTACTTAACTATTAATGTATCATATTTCAGTATCTAGAATTCCTTAAAATTTATATTTCCCATCTTTTATATATTTGTTACCATATGGAATCTATTGTGATATTTTAAAAATAATTTTATCTTTTGATATATAAGTATATTGCACACACACATATTTATTAAAATATAAAGTATTTATTCATAGAATTTAATATATTTTTGTTTTCAAAAAAATAATCGATTTTCTTTAGGCTTTTAGCGTAAAGAAATTCTATATACAGATAGAGATAAAAAAAAAAAGTTAAACATTTAAACAGACCATCAATATATTTGTCTAAAGTAGTATGTGCGCTGTTTCATTGTAATGTTTACCCTTGGCACAATATTGATTTTTTGTATAAAAAATTATGATTTTTTGCTAATCTAACATAACAATTGCATGTATTTATATAGTGTGTATGGTATTTAGAACTATTCAACACAGAAATATTAAAACAAATTTTAAAATGTTTTGTGAAACATGAAAATTATTATGGGGAGCCGTGTAGCAGATTGAGATAGTTGCAAGTCTAATCATTATAGTTTGGCCATAAAAAATAGGAGTCGTTGTATAAATGTCTTAATGTAAGACCTTTTAAATAACTATCTAAACATTTTTATCATTATATACAGAATATATTTTTACCTTTTGGTGGTATTAATCCGCATCTTGGAGTTAGTTTTACGCTGTAAACGATAGTTTAATATCGATAGTAAAATTTATATTTTTCAAAGATAAATATTAACCTACTCTATCCATATACCCACGGCCTAATAAATCTAACTTGAAAATAAGTATTTCGAATCACAGATCAGTTCCTAGAAGGTATGAGGCATCTTATATACCAAAAAGAGGGGCACCTCTACTTTTAAAATGCATTAAGACAATGCATTTTGTATAGCCACAGTACAAAACGTAATGGTGGTTATAAAGAATGTACCAAAACGCCAGTTTGTAAAAATTCAGATATATCCAAACTGTATACCATGGTTTCAGGCTTTGGCCCTCATCAGTACAGGTGGATCCTCACGTAGGATGTCATGGAACTGAAGCTATTCTCATATATATAAATAAAATGATTCTGTTTGAAACTCGTCTAAGTTTTATATGCTACGGTAAAAGGAGCCAGGCCAACTCCTTCTTTTCCCGTAAAGGAGAAAATTACCCCCGAAGAGGCCATACAAGCAAACATAATTCTATGTAAACACATCAATTTGAATTTTTTGTCTATATTTTAGGTAGGCGCTGCACTTACAGAATAAACATTCTTATCCATCTATTCATCTGGTGTGACTGGGGTTAAGTGCATCGATTAGTAAATAAAATCAATAATGTGTTTGATATCTATGTGTTTAGAAAAGAGAAATTCGGAGGAGCTATTTGCAAGTTTTTAATTTGGCTTAAGATTCCGAGGCAAGCTGGTGTTTGCTAAGAAATGCAAACACCAGCTTGCCTCGGAATTTTGGGCTGACAATAACGTCGTGGAGAACTTTGAAAAGCAGGAAGGTGAGTAATTTTTTGAATATAATTAATAATTCTATAATATATATATAATGTAGTAGATAAATTGATCTATTTCTCTCCAAATGGAAGATATAATTTCAAAATGAAGAGAGAGATGGAGATATTTATATACTAAAACTTATCTATATACTTAACATGTATGTTAATGTAGATATCCAGGAACATCTTGACTTTAGTTCAAGATTCCGAGACAGGCTGGGGTTTGTAAATTTTGGCAAACACCAACTTGGTTCGGAATTTTGGGCTAACAATATCGTCGTAGAAGAATCAGCGAAGAAAGAGGGTAAGTAGTACTTTTTCCTACTTTATAGGTTACACTCATAAAACTATCCCTTTGTATATAGTATTTGTAATAGAAATAAAATGTTTATTTTTAGTTGCTAAATGTTTAACCCTTTTATTTGTTGGTTTTAGATGTATTATGCCCTCTTTTGGCTCAAGATCCCGGGGTGGGCTGATGTTTTTGAAATAACACAAACATCAGCTTACACCGGGGTCTTGGGTCAAAATAAACTTCATTAAAGCTGTAGAAGGTGAGTATAACTTTTTCTATTTCCTATTTTGTGTCTTTTTATACAAGGTTGATCTAGTATCAACTCCTATTGATTAATTATCATTATGAAGTAATATAAAATGAGTTTGGGTTATATAGCTTATGTTGGAAGAGGAATATACTTTGGTGGTAGCTGTATACTTCGATTGAAGGCTGCAGGGTTTCTATTGCTGCATTGGTTTAGTTTAAAGGGAAAGATGGTCCCCTATTGCCCATGGATACCATCTTCCTGCTAAAATATTTACAAGTATATGTATAAATATAAAATAAGAAGGGGTTTATTTAAAGTTTAAGTGATTAAAGGCTTATTTTCATCTTGATGTATTTAACATGCATGCTTAGCAAAATATTCGGAAACTTTCCCCTCTGGTTTAAGATTCCGGGGTAAGCTGGTGTTTATAAACTAATACAAACACCAGCTTACCCCGGAGTTTTGGACCAACAAAAACTTCAAAGTCCTACAAAGAGAAGGTGAGTGGTTAGGAGTTAAACTTATTAAGACGCATGTTAATTAATTATGATGAGCAGTACTTCGATTATGTAATGAACGTTACATTATTGTGTATGCATGCTCTATTTATATTTCTTTACTCCATCTTTCGTTTCACACACAAGGTATATTCAAGTGAAACATATCAAGGTAGGTAGTATATATATAACACACATAATTGAATGTACCAAAAGTGGCACCTCTTTTTAAAAATCCTTTAAAACAATGCATTTGCTTATCACAGCAGTAAAAAATGTAAAGGTGGTGATAAAGAAAAAGCCACAATACCAATTTTTGAAAATTTAGACAAAGGGCTAATCTGTATATCATGGCCTTAAAAATTAAGAAGGTAAGTAACTTTTAAATAAAAATTAATATTTTTAATTAGAGTAATATATAAATTTATCTAAAAACAATTGAAAAAAATATACTAAAACTTATCTATATTCCTAACATGTATGTTAATATAGATATTCAGGAACTTCTTGACTTTAGTTCAAGATTCCGAGACAGGCTGGGGTTTGTAAATTTTGGCAAACACCAACTTGGTTCGGAATTTTGGGCTAACAATATCATCGTAAAAGAATCAAAGAAGAAAGAGGGTAAGTAGTACTTTCCTACACTGTATATAGTATTTGTAATAAAATAAAATGTTCTGTTTCTATTTGCTAAATGTTTAACCATCTCATTTGCTGGTTTTAGAAGCATTATGCGCTTTTGGCTCAAGATCCCGGGGTGGGCTGATGTTTTTTGAATTAACACAAACATCAGCTTACCCCGGGGTTTTGGGTTAAAATAAACATCATTGAAGCTATAAAAGGTGAGTAAAACATTTCTAATTATTATTCTATATGTTTATATATAAGAGAGAGGGTGATGAAAAAAGAGGTTCCAATGTGAAATTACATTTTGGGCCTGGTTATTAACAACTCCCGAAAAATATCAATGTCTCTAGACTGCCTTTATGAGAACAGTTGGAGTCTTAACTCCGATCTTTGAAATCATTGGGTAGAGATTCACACAGCAAAAGGCGGTCTTCCTCTTCCCTTTGATAAAGTCCAGCCTGCCTAAAGAGCTCCTCAAGATATGGCATAGGGCACTGTGTCTGGATACGATGTGCGTCACCTGGACTTGCCTCAATTAGAATTGCTATTGAGGTTCCTAAGAATGTGGAAGCGAAGGATGCGGAGCTTCCTGCCTATGTGAAAACCCGTTTAAGCAAACCCTCTAGACTTTATGAGGGTAAGTCCTCAGGGAGAAAATTGCATGAAGCCGAGGTGAAAGAAGGGACTGAGCCTGGCAATGAAAAATGCATCCTGTGCAAAAAATCTGTAAGCTAAAGCATTAGCGAAGATCTGCCTGTCCATTGGTGATGAACAGATATAGCATGTTAGAAATATAAATTCATCAAAAGAAGTTTGGGCTGAACTTGAAAAATTATATGCACCTAAAAATAGCGAAAAGTATTTTCAAATTTTGAAACTACGACGAAAACTCTACTCACAGAATTACACGCAGCATTCAAGAATGGACTCATATTAGGCAAGCATAATTTATTTTGTAAGTAAGCTCACAAGTACAGGTGAAAGACACAAAATTGAAGTTGGAGATTTAGCCATGCTCATCCTTTTTGGAATGCCAGAAGATTGGGAAAATGTAGTATCCACTTTGTGTAATTTTCTAAACAAAGAATTTACTTGCGCCACAGTGAAACGGGAGCTTTTAGAAGAAGCTGAACGACGCTAAGTTTCACCAAACGGATAAAGGGTGCCTTATTACCAAAAGTATCAGAAAAAAACAAAGAAAACATAAAATAAATATCAAAAGTGGAAGAAAAACAAAATATGTTTTGAATCCGGTAAAATGGGACATTTGACCAAGGACTGCTACAGGTTGAAAGCAACCAATCATGAATCCCGTGGAAAAGCACAAAAGGAGATGCCAAAGGAGCAATCTCAGACAAAGGCCAAAGGAATGTCTGTGACGTTTGGTACTTCCATCGCTCATCCAGAAGACACTTTTCTGACCTCAGTGAAGAAGTTCATGGATAGGTAACCACAATTGATAGGACTGTAATTCATTCGACGGGAAAAGGAACTGCCAACGCAGCACTGAAGGGAAATTTGGGTCAATTAAGTAATTGGCGGTAGCAAATACCTTGTTGGTACCAGTGATCAAGACTGGAGTTATTTCAGTTCTACAAGCGATGGAGAATGAAAGGAAGGTGATCTTAGACAAGCGCGGATGTTATATTTGTGATGATGGTGGCAACCTACTAATTGAAGCGGAGGGAAGAGGTAGGCTTTATGTTGTTACCACTATACCTCATGCTGATTCTTTAATTAATGTACTGATTCATTCATAGTCTAGAACTATGGCATCAAACACAGATATGCAATAACTGGCAAATCATTCTTAATTTGATCAAGAACTAAGCAGTTAGGGGTTTAATGTGTAATGCTGAAACCATCGAGAAATGTTATGATTGCTTGATCGGCAAATCAACAAGACGGTCATTTCAGTTACAATGTCTGAGAAGGAGAAAGCACTATTGGCGCTAGTTCATTGTGATCTAAGGGGACCATTCATATTCCAACGTTGGGAAGATGCACTTTATTTCCTGTGCATTGTAGATGATGCCACCAGATAAGTTCGAGTTTATTTTCTTAAAAGAATAAGAGTGATGTGTATTGAGAAAATTTAGGGAATAGAAGATTGAAGTAGAGAAGCAAGCAAATCATTCGATGAAGAAAATTTGGACAGATAATGGGCTAGAATTTTATTTACTGCCTTGGGATGCTTACACAAAAGCTCATTGCATAATTCAATAACGCACAATGGTGTATACCCCGCAACAAAATGACATTGAAGAGGGAATGAATAGGACTTTTCTGCATCTAGTTAGAAGCACAATGAATAGCTGTAATTTTTCGAATGATCCTCGGGCTGAATTGATCTAAATCGCTGGACATTTGAGGAACAGGGTCGTAAACAAGCACAACAAGGATAAGACTCCATTTGAATTGTGGTTTGGATGGAAGCCCAGCTTAAAGCATCTGAGAGCGTGTGGATGGGAAGTGTTTGTTCACAAACCAAGGGAGAGAATAAGATCAAAACTTCAATTAAGAGCACTTAGGAGAATTCTAATTAGTTATGCCCCTCGTGGACATGTATGGAGAATTGGCATCCTGAAAAGAACTAGGTGATAGAATCTAGAGACTGTGTTTAAAGAATTTGTTCTCAACAGGCTGACAACTAGAGAGGTTGATTCGTTACCCAATGTAAAGTTTCCCATTGATGATAACTCATGCCATGAGGGAGATTTCATGAATAGTTTGAAACAGGAGACAGTGGAGCTACTGAAAATGATGAGGACCCAGAATCAGAAGCGGAACCAAGTAAATAGCATTGTGGAAAAGAAGTTCCTACAGCACGGAGCCACCCAATGACACTGCGTCATCATAAAAAGGAAAGTGATGAAGCTGTCATAAGCTTAAAAACGGAAATAACCAATTTTGATGAAATAACAGATTCGAAGACGACTGAGAACTACCCCTTTCTCTCCAGGAAGCCTTAGAAAGTCCAGAAGATACAGATGGCTTGCATCAATAGAAGAAGAAATAGAATCTTTGAGAAGGCCCAAAGTGTGGGAACTTGGATAGCTGCTAAAGGATTCCACTCCCATTCCATGTAGATAGGTTCTACACAAGAAAACTGAGGCCTCAAGATAAATCACTAGATACAAGGCGCGTTCAGTTTCAAAGGGTTTTAGTCAGAGTATACGACTTGATTTTAATCAAATTTATGCCTCAGTCTCAAGTTTTGAAAACATAAGACTTTTGACAGCAATTATAATTGAGAAAGGCTGGCATTTAGACAAATTTGATGTGAAAAATGCTTATTTGCATGGAAACCTTGATAAAATTATTTATATGGAGCAAATGGAGTAGTAAAAAAACCCTATATTGTAGACTTAAAAAATCAATTTATGGACTCAGAGTGGAAGATGTTGGAATGAGTTTCTAAATGACAAACCTCAGAAAAAAATAAATCAAGAGAAATCCAATTGATCCAAGCTTTTATGAATTTGAACGTAAAGAAGGAAAAGTATTTCTACCAGTTTATGTGTGTAGACGCTATTTTCACTATCTTAGAAAATAGTCGATAAGAGAAAAGTACAAGGCACCTCTAGAGGAAATGTTTGACTTGAAATATCTTGGACCGATTTCATTTCTTCTTGGCCTAAAATTTTCTCAAAATCAAGATGAAAGCCTTACACCTACCCAGGGAACCTACATTGATAATCTTGAACGCTTCAGACCACAAGATGCGAGAAATATATCAACACAGAGGGAGGTAAATGTAGATCTCAATGAGACTAATGATGGACTTGGAGAAAACCTACCCAATCGAGAGCTGATGGAGGGTTACCATTTTTGGCACAAAGATCAAGACCAGATATAGCGTATGCTGTTGGACCACTGGCTCAGTATGCTAGCAGGAGCTCCCATAATCTGTAAGAGTTTAAAACAGACTGTTACAGCACTCAGTATGATGGAAGCAGAGTATGTAACTCTTTCAAAGACAGTGAGAGAAATCACATGGGTGAGTGACCTGAGAAAACCATTAAAATTTTGACATTTGATCACAGACCCAACTCTCATTTGGTGTGATAGCCAAGCTGCAATCACACACGCCAAGAACTATGTGGACAGATCAAGTACCATTTCATTCGTGAGAAAATCCAGGACGGTACTGTATTAGTGCAACATATCCCCACTGGGAGGAACACTGCTGAACTGCTCCCTAAACTCTTAACAAGAGTCCTTCATTCTACACCTCGGCAAGAAATAATAACTTGTCGAATCCAACCAGCTCAAGGCCAATGAGATAGACCCGAGGAGGGAGATGTTGGACTAGCGGCCGATCAACATGTGACCTACGACCGTCCACCCCTTCCCTGTCGCGGAGAGCATCATGATATTGTGTGCCTACTTTGTTTATAATTATGTAAATACACTTACGCAGGTTCTTCTACATTTGAACCTTTTTTGTTATTTTATATTCTATTAAAACTGAAGTTCAAATATTAAGGTTTCTCAAATAATTGCGCTAACGAAATCCCATTGGACACAACATTGTCCTACTTGGATATCACTGTCCATAAGTAATATATTGGAAGAACTGAAGCGACACAAGACATGTTTCAGTTGTCTATGAGGGGGCATGTGGGATATCGTTGAGCAAAAAACATCAAATGTAGAATTTGTAAACAGAATTATAGCATCTTGCTGCATCTCGGGCAGGAAGAAGGAAAACATCAGGGTTAGGTTAAGACACTTGAGAAATGTTACAAAGTAGAAGCATCATCAAACCAGGGAGGTAAATGTTTCTCCTTTGCTGGGATACCTATCAAAACGGCGGCACCTAAAGCTCTCCTGGCTCCTGCTTTGGTCCGCTTCATTAACCAAAGAGGAGAAAAGGTTGTTGCTCGAGCTCTGTTAGATCAAGGCTCCAAATTCTCATCCGTCAGGACGTATTGCAGCAAATAAAGATTCCCATCTCCA